TTAAAAAAAAAAAAAAGTAAAATATAGTGCTTATTTAAGAAATGACCTCTTAAAAAACAAACAAAAAAACGAAAAAAACCCAAAAGAAATGACCTGTTTCTAATTTAAACAAGAGACAGTTCCTCATTTATATAATGGGAATAATAATAGCACCTAAAGATAAAGAAACAAAGGCCCAACGAGGTCCAAGCAACTTGCCCAAGGTCATTCAGTATGTGAACGGCAGTGCCAGGCCTCAAAGCCAGGTTGTCTGACAAAGTACATGCCTTAACCACAAGGATATACTGTCTCCTGTGAGTGCACCACAACATAACAAGAAAAAATGAACAACCAAGAGGCTAGATCTGTGATATAAAAGACCATCACTAAGTCCCAATGGATAAATGAGTGGAGAACACGAGCGATTAATTTGCTTGGGAGAAAATGCAGCTTGTTTGCTAAGCCTGTTCTAGCTAGAAACTTATCTGATCCTCCCTCACGCTAGCTACCAGGTCCTCCAGTCCTGGCCCTCATGCCAACCCCAGGGGCCCAAAGCACCCATCTCTCCCTGCTGTGCTTCATCAGCGAGGTCATGGGGACTTTGCAGTGGGGACCCCCTTTCAACCCAGGCCCCCACACTTACATGATCAGCCACATTGGTGTGGCCTCCTGCATGGATGAGGGCCCGGGCCACGTCCTCAGAGCCACAGAGGACTGCGTAGTGGAGGCAGCTCTGTTTTTTCTAGAAGGAAACAGGCATCAGTGCCATGTCCTGAAAGCCCCTCACAGTGGGGCTTTGGGATCCATTATTCCATTTGTGTCTCACAACCCCCGGGACAATTACCCCCTTGAACCCTGAGGCTGGAGAAATCAATTGCCTTGCCCAGGCCTGGTGATGAGTAAAAGGAGCTCACTGTGGTCCTGGCTTTTCCTTGCCTCCTGTCACAAACTCCAGAACATATATCAAAGCCTGCACAATTCCTAGGCTGGTAAAGACACGCAGAGTATACTCTGAGGTTTTCAAAGAGAGGAATAAATAAGATTTGCTAGCACAGAGCAAACTCCACCTGGCACGCACTGCCCCGCTAGATCTGGTCTCAGCACGTCCGGGCAGGAGCTGGGCAGCGCCAGGGCAGGGCTTCATCCCGATGGGCCTTCTAAGTGCCCTCCTTCAATCCAAGGGCACCCCCGGTCAAACAACGATCTCACATGTGATACCCCCTCCCCCTAACTCTGCCAGGCAGACCTCTCTAGGCAACCAGGGGTCCCAGACTGCCCAGACTGTTCCCCCAGGACTTTCAGTTTTAAAACCAGGACGGTATGGGGTAAACTGGGACGAGCTGGTCACCCTCCCAAAGTCCTATCTGAACTGAGTACACAGGGTGAGTGGGAACCAGTCCACCTCCCAATGGCAAATGTACTCCCTTTGGGTTAGCCCCCACTCCAGAGACCCTGTGAGGGGTGGGGGTGTCCAGGTAGAATGTGCCCACTACCAGAAACCTCAAGCCATGGCAAGAGCACAAGGCCCAGTGCAGTGGGCAGCTCTAGCCCTGCCAATGACCACCAGCTGGACACGATCTCCCCAGTCCCTAAACTCCTATGCTGCTGCTGCTGGGGAGATGGCCTTGACATTTCACTTCTTGTGCCCCCTTCCAGTCCTGAGCACTGTGCTGGGCACAGAGACACGGTTGCTGCCCAAAGAGCAACACTGTGCCAATGGAAGGACCTAGCTGGGTGCCCTGGGGCAGCTGCTTCCACCCTCTGGGTGGGCCTTGGTGTCATCCCGACACCCTGGGGAAGCAAGGTGTACCTGCTAGGGGAGTTCTGCAAATTAAGTGTTTTGTGACTTATAAAGTATTATTCACATCGAAGGGGGGGGGGGTTAACATTGATATTATTATTGAATTTACGTTTGTCATTTTGCTACTTATTTTCTGTATGTCTCCTGTCTTTTTTGTTCTTCGTTTCTCCTTGGTTGCCTTCTTTTGTGTTAAATATTTCTAGCATACTATTTTAATTCCTGGGCTTTTTCACTATTTTTGCTAGCATATTTTATTTATTATTATTGCTTTATTATTGAAATTTAGAACAAATAGAGAATTCCAGACCCTGAAGCCATGCAATCAGCCAAGACAGATTATTTGTCATTGATCTAAAAGTAAAAAGCCAAACAAAACAAAAACGCCCACTCCCTAAGTCCACAACGCCCCTTTTTCCAGGACACGGAGAGAATTTCCAGTGGCTGACTTAAGGAGTCAGTAGTGAGAGAGAGAAGAGGCCTGCCCCAGGCTCCAGCTCCGGGGGCTGGTGGGGCTCCTGCACAGACAGGGCAAACCTTCCAGGCCATGAGCTCTGCAGTCCGGGGAATAGGCTTTTCAGACTCAGCTTTGCTTCTTGCCAGCTTGTGACCCGTGAAAGTCACTGAATCTCTCTAAGCTTCCGTTTCTTCATCGGTATAACAGGGGTAATTTTTCTGAAGGGATTGTTATAAAGGGGACTCATGAACTACCAAGCACCCCGCAATAAGAAGACACCAACAGGTGGTGAGCTCCTAGCACGTCCCAGGCCCTGGGAGGAGTATTTACTCTTCACAGCATTGTACAAACATGACTACGTAGCATCCCCCTATTATAGCTGGAAAATGAAGCTCAGAGAATTTAAGTGGCTTGGCCTCGGTCACAGAGCCCCGCAGTGGAGAAGCCAAGACCAGACCCCAGGCCTGCTGCCTGAGGGCCCCTATTCACACACGTTCAGGAATCACTGTGGCTGCTACCGTGGGCACGGTTAGAGTTAGGCTTCAGAAGCCAAGGGCAGACATCCGTCCCGGGGGAGGACTGACTACCTGGGTGAGGGCGTTCACACAGCTCCCGGCCTCAAGGAGCAGCTGTACACAGTCAGGGTGGACACCTTCAGCCGCCACGTGCAGGGCAGTCAGACCTTCCTGAAACACATGGGGAGAGGTCTGAGGATGGCAGGGAGGCTGAGGCCAGACCCTGAGGGGAGAGGGACCCCTCCCGCTAGGGCTCCAGGGCTCTGGGAGCTCTCCATGGCCATGCTACTGAGGACAATAACCTGCATCATTATCTGTGGTTCCCTGAGCCCCATACCTGATTTTCTCACATTGAGGAGCATGTGGTACATTGACTCCCACCTCCACATCCCTGCTCACGTTCTCCCCCTCCAAGCTGCCTCACCCCCTGCTCTCTGTCTATTCCTTCTTACTCCAGGAAGCCTCTAGCAGGGGAAAATCAGGCTGCACCTCGGGCCGTCCGTTCCTCGAAAGCAGGGAGCGAGCGAGCATCTCTGCATCCTCTGGGTGATGACTCACCGCGTTCTGCTCCTCCAGGTCCAGCCTGATGTCCACGAGCCGCCGCAGCACAGCCAGGTGGCCCTGGCCGGCAGCCAGGTGAAGGGCCGTGTTCCCCTCCTGCAGGCAGAAGGGCTCCCGAGGGACCGGTAGAATCATAGACCCTTCAAGGCCCTGGGGACCTGCTGGAAATGCCCCTCATTGTATAGACATGGAAGCTGAGGTCCAGAAAGGGGAAGTGACACATCGGGGGTCACAGAGCGAGTCGATGAAAAACTGCAGCCCCGAACCCTGGGCCAGTGTCTCCCTGCCTGTGAGAAGTGTGCCCCAAACTACAACCAGGGGCACTTACAAGGGCCAAGTCCTGGTCTTTCCTCACACTTGAAGGCAGACACAATACTTGGGGGGAAAAACAATCCCTACTTTCCATGCCCCTGTCCAAAGCCAGTCCCTCTTTGAGCCATCCTCAATCCATCCCCTTCCCTTGCTCAAGACCACAGCTCCAAGGACTCTCCTTGGCACTCAGGTTGTGCCCGGGCAGCCAGCTGCATGGCCCAATTCAAGATGGTAGCTTCTCATTGAATAGTGTGGTCGCGCTGACCATACTACTTAAAACCACAACTCTGGGGACGCCCGGGTGGCTCAGTGGGTTAAGCGTCTGTCTTTGGCTCAGGTCGTGATCTCGGGGTCCTGGGATCAAGCCCTGTGTTGGGCTCCCTGATCAGTGGGGAGCCTGCTTCTCCCTCTCCCTCTGCCCCTCCCCCTGCTTGTGCTCTCACGCGCGTGCTCTCTCTTTCTAATAATAAAATCTTAAAATAAAACAAAACTGCAGTTCCCACCCTCTGTCCTCCTAATCCCCTGATCTTGCTGGACTTTTCTTTCTCTTTTCCCCCATAGCCCTGATAACACACTATCATTTGCTTGTATACTATGCTTATTATTTATTGTCTGACTCTTCCTGCTAGAACATAAACACCTCAAGGGCAGGGATTTCTGTCTGTTTTTGTTCTCCAATGTTTCCTCAAGTGCCTAGAATAAGGCCTGGGGCACATGGCAGACATTCAGTAAAATATTTGTTCAATGAGTAAATACTGTGATGGAGAGAATGACATGTGTCTCCTGGAACTTGAGAACCACAGGGCTGGTAATTGTCTCACACTTGAGAAGTCTAAAGGTGACTTGTGTCACTGTGGCTCCCCTGGGTGTGGCAAAGGGCACGCTGTTCTTTGTATCAGAAGTGGCTCTTGCCAAGGGCAGCCTGATGGGGTTGTCCTTAAAGGGATCTTTCTGCAGGGGCATCTGGGTGACTCAGTCAGTTAAGCATCTGACTTTTGATTTCAGCTCAGGGCATGATCTCAGGGTCATGAGATCGAGACCCATATCAGGCTCCGTGCTTGGCGGGGAGTCTGCTTCTCCATCTCCCTCTGCTCCTCTAAAAATAAATAAATCTTTTTTTTTTTTTTTAAGGGAATCTTTCTGCAGAGGACAAGTGAATGGTGAAGGGGCCCCAGCAAAGAGGAGGAGAGCTGGAAGGGGCCAGCCAGAGAAGTATGTCTCTCAGGAAGAACCACACGTGGAGAACCAGAGCAGGGGCCCCTGAGGGAACCCACAAAGGCATCAGAAGGGACAAGCCAGCTTCAGCCATTCATCACGCCCAGAAGGGCTCTGGGATATATCTAGCTACACCAGTCATGGGGGCTTCTAGCTCAAGGTCTTTTCCTCCGCCCTAGCCTGTCTCAGCACCTTCCTGAGGAAGGAATCAAGACATGCACATCAGACCAGAACTCTTAAGGGCCCAGTGAGGGGGTGAACAAATACCAATGCCAAAGTGGTACTTAAAGCAGCTATAGACATACCTCCCCTCATGAGAACTCCACACATACATAAAACAACTATATCCTATGGGATCGAAGGTGAAACATTTAAATTTCTTCTATGATCATTACCACGTTGCATTAATAAATAAAAGTTAAGTTTAAAAAAATCCCCTCAATGACAACAAAATGTCCCCTGAACAGCCTTGTTTGCTTCTTGCCCACCGTCTCTGCAAATGTGCGCACAGCTGCCTACAGCTGCTGCCGGCGCGGGCCGGGCTGGGGGAGGGGGCGGCCACGGTGTGAAGTCTGTGTTCCAGGAGACACAAAGGAAGTGGTGAACCATGGGGGCCAATATGTGCCCCCAAGTAGCAGGGCTGTGAAGACAGCGGCAGGGTTTTGTTTTCCCTCTGGGTTATAAATATCCACATATTGCTCTTTTTTTTTTTTTCAAGATTTTATTTATTTATTTGACAGAAAGAGAGAAAGCGCACGCACAAGCAGAGGGAGTGGCAGGCAGAGGGAGAGGGAGAAGCAGGCTTCCCGCCGAGCAGGGAGCCGGATGCGGGGCTCGATCCTAGGACCCCGAGATCATGACCTGAGCTAAAGGCAGACACTTAACTGACTGAGCCACCCAGGCGTCCCACACACATCTTGCTCTTTGAAGGTGCAGGTGGCACAGCCCCCCTAACAGAGCAACTCTCACTTTATCTGGGCGGGTAGGGGGCTCAGAGGCAGGAGAGCTGGGCAGAAGGAGGCCATGGCATTGGGCTCAGTGTCCTCGCCCCTCCTCCTGTGAGGATGCCCAGGCTCTCTATCTCTGGGACGCCTTGTCAGCAGCCCCCTCGATATTCCCAGGGGATTTAATCACTCCCTCTGGACTCTCAAAGTCTCCCTAACATCACAACACCTGTGGCGTGCCCTGTGTTGTCACAGGACCATCTTAGCAGGCTGTGGGGTCCTAGCAGGCGTCAGACCTTTAACGGCACTGGGTCTTGAAAAGCATATTATTACGCCTCCTGCCCAAATGAAATTCAAAACGAAAACATCTTTCACCTGAAAATACAAAACTTAACAGGGGCATGCAATTTTTTTTAAAAAGAATTTTTTATTTATTCATTTGAGAGAGAGTGAGTGAGAGCACAAGCAGGGGGGAGGGGCAGAGGGAAAGGGAGAAGCAGACTCCCCGCTGAGCAGGGAGCCCAAAACAGGGCTAGAGCCCAGGACCCCGGGATCTCGACCCGAGGCAAAGGCAGACGCTTAACTGACTGAGCCACCCAGGCGCCAATAGGGTCATGCAATTTTAAAAGCTTCTTTCTAGAATTTCTGACTGCAAGATTCTGGGTAAGCTCATCAAAGCTGGGCTTTGCTTGTTTTCCAGTTTTGGTGTTCCTGCCCTCCTGGCACCCTGAATACAATCGTGTTTTAACCTCCGAGGTAGAAGCACCCTGGCAGGAGCTGTCCTTCACTCCTCTCTGTACTCCCACAGTTCTTGGCCCACATCCTACACAGTCTAGTCCAGAGCATGACCTGCTCAGCCCATTTCCAGAATGAAGGAAATCAGCCTGATCTGATTCTCAGGACCAAAAGGATGAGTGTAGACAGGTGAATTCGGTGCAAACCCCAAGGGCTTAGTGCCCCAGGAGGCAGCTTGAAGAGAGGGAGCTGCCCAGGGCTGGGTATCAGGTTGCTGGTTCCAAACCCAGCCCAACCTTTGTCTTGCTGTGTGACCCTGGCTAAAGCATCCCCCTCTCTGGACCTCCGATCTATAAAATGAGAAGGTTGATTGGTCCTCAATGAAGGACACTTCCAGTTCTAATACCCTGTGTGCATTTGCCTGTCACTAGCTTATAAACAGAACTCCTCTATCCTGGCCAAGAACATTAATCAGAAGATTAATAATGGAGTCTGTCCCTTTACTGGAAGTGTTGTTTAGAATTTGCTGCAACATACTTGCCTAATGATTCACAATGGCCCACTGAAATGAGTCATTTTCAGGGTAGTCCCCTCAGGCCCAGCCCTCACCTCTCCTCAGATTGATGAAATCCTGCTTGAAGCTCTCCACCCTGAACCAACTGTTCCCTACTCCGGGCTCTCATCCCACTTTTGCCATGACCATAGTAGATGACTAAATGACAAAGAGTAAATAACCAGCGGGTGCGTGGCCACCCGCCCCCCCAACTCTTCCTCTTACCTGAAACAACAGACAACCCCAACGGCATCACAGTCCTGCTCAAACCCATTTCAGGCAGTACCACCAGCCAACAGATTTGCCATCCCAGCTCCCCACACCTGATCACAGCTTTCTACTAGGGTGGCAGCTCGGGTTCCTTGGATGAAAAACTGTGTCTTGGATATCTTTGAGCTCCTCACACACAGCACGGGACAGGCCCATAGCGTGTGCTTGAAAAATGGCTGCAGGATGAATATCCAACCCTCTCTGTCCTTGAGCCGCCTGCCCTTCCAACATCCTGGAGTCAGAAGTAGGCACAGGTCAGCTGCCAGAGAGCGCCCACCCCGGTCAGGAGCCCAGAGCTTGGACCTCCCCTGGGACCCAGTTACAGTACCTTGTCTTTCACACTGTGGTCACAGCCAGAGCCCACAAGGAAGTCAAGAGCATCCAGCTGCCCGTGTTCAGCAGCCCGATGGAACGCCGTCCTTCCCAGCTGACCAGGGAGGGGAAGAAAGTGACCCTTCTGTACTCTGTAGGAGGCACGCCCACACTGCCCACCTAGCCAACCACTCAGGGCTTGCAGGGGCCTCTCCTGCCCCAGTAACTCTCCCTTCCCCTCGTCCTACTACCTTACCTGGAAAGCCTAGACCCAACTTTCCAACAAGACCCACGGGGTGGGTTCCTCCCCCACTGAAATCCTTCTGTGGCTCCCTGCTGTCTACTGAATAAAGGACAGATTCCTGAGGCTTGAGGTCAATGGAGATTTCCATGAGGGGCTCCCAACATGGCCCTGGCTCTCACTCCCAACATTCCAGTCCATCTGAACTCACATGCAAAGGGCCCTTTTCACCTCTAAAGCTCTGACAATGCTCTTCTCTCTATTTACAAAATCTCCCTGCTTTCCAATCTTACCAACAAAATCCAGGTCACTCACTAAATGCCACCTCATCCAGGAAGCAGAAAGCAATAGCTCCCGTCTCTAACCTATCTAGTTAGTCCTCATCAGAACCTCTCTGAGGGAACTGACCATTTTCCTCCTATGTCCCGCTCATTTGTGCTCTAACACCCTTTCTAGGCCAGCAGTTCCCTGAGGTGGGGTCCAGTCTGCACTACTCACAGCTCAAAGGATGCACTCAAGGAATGGGCAAGAGTGGCCCCAGGAGCCCCAAACCCAATGGGAAGGACAAGCAGCCTCGAGGCCACTCTCACCTTGTCAGCATGGTCCAGGGGCACATCCTCCAGGTCCTCCATTATGAACGCCAGCACCGGCACGTGGCCTTTTTGGGCTGCACAGTGTAGTAAGGTCAGGCCGTCCTGGAAACGAGGTAGTAGACCAGGGTGGTCCCTACAGTCTATGAAGGGGGGCCCTTCTCACACCCTGGCTGTCTCCCAAACGGTGAGTGTTTGCAATCCAGAACACAGCTTTCCCACGGAAACAACACAGTATGTAAATGGGGATGGACCCCTGAGCCACCCACGGGTGCCCCACTCAGCCTCAGAGGGGCTGGTGGGAGTCAGGATGCCAGAGTTCAAATCCCAGCTCCAGCATTGATCAGCAATGCAGTGTGGTCTTGACCAAGTTATGTGTACCTTCATGAGCCTCCATTTTCTCCTAGGTCAAACCAGGATAACCCCTGACTACCTCAGTTGGTGGCTGAGGGGGCATCACCTACAGGAAGTCTTTTTATACGCTGAAAAATAACTCAGGATGTAAGGTGAGGTTGTATAGCACTAACAGTCCCCAGAATACCCCTCACAGGACATTATTACAAGGTTACAACATCTGCTCGCCTTGATACGGCCCCAAATGAGAAAAGAGGTGACTAAGTGCCCAGGATCTGTCTCTAGGAGGTCACCTCCTAACCTTCCAGGGAGGGCTGAGAGCTGATGGAATCTACAGAGACGAGGTGTTAAAAAAGGAGAAAGTAGACTCACAATGGAGTCACTTGTGCTAAGGCCCACCCACATCACCAAACCGAGACTTAATATCTAACCCAACTGCAACTTCAGCCTCTCCCAGATAAGTAATCTTAACCAGTCAGTCTGGAATTTCCTGGTCAACACGAGGGAGGAAATCCACCTGACAGACACCCCCACTGGCCCCCAAAGGAAGGTGATCTTGCCTAAAACAATCCACTCTTTGCTAGAATAACTTCCTTGCCCCACTGTCTTTTGCCTATAAAAGTCTTTCATTTTGTACAGCTCCCCAGAGCTCCTTTCTATTTGCTAGATGGGATGCTGCCCAATTCATGAATCATTGAATAAAGCCAATTAGATCTTTAAATTTACTCACTTGAATTTTGTTCTTTAACAGAGGGGAAGTGGCCAGGGTGGGAAGAGGCGTAGGCTGGAAGAAGGTCTCTTGGCCCCAGAAGCAATATTTAAGTGAGGGACGTTTGCAAATCCTATGTTTATAGCCCAGAGCTTCTACCAAGGCCTTGCATTATAGCTGGAGTGTTTGGAGTCTTGTTTTTCAAATAGATTGCAACCATCGATGGGTCATAAAAATCAATATATTGAATGATGTTGTACATCTTGACAGTAGTTTGGATTACAGTGGAGTAAAATTTGTCAAATCTCAGTGAATATAAACTTAAGATTTTTGTATTTCATTTTAGATAAAGAAATTGAATTCTAGTTAATATTATGCATGCTGAAGTATTTAGAGGGAAGTATAGTGATGTCTGTAATTTATTTTGAAATGCTTCCAAAATTTATAAAGAACTCTAAAAGCTCATTAATGAGCTATTAAACAACTCAATTTAAAAAATCATTTGGACACAAGGAAGGTATATGGATGGCAAATAAGCACATAAAAAGATACCTAACATCATTAGTCATTATTGAAATGCAAATTAAAACTACAAAGAGTTTCTAACAATAGAGTATGGAAAGGGGAAAAATGCTAACATTCCAGTGGAGAAACCTGGCCGACACCACTTTACCCACGTGATTAAGTGTGAAATTATGGTTTATAGTAAGAAATATGTATTTGGTCTTCATCCTATTTCTGTTAACAGAGGTCCTAAAACCCTTGGTATTTTCTAAGTGTACAGAGTGATTAAGGTCTATTGTTATGTTAATTTGGTGACAAGGGAAGCCCAAGGTAACCTGAAGATGGGGGCTGGTTGCCGGGGAAACCAACTCAATTAGAGGGTTAGAACTTTCAGTCCCACCCCCTGACCTCCAGGGAGGGGAGAGAGGCTGGAGGTTGAGTCAATCACCAATGACCAAGGATTTAATCTATCAAGTCTATGAAATGAAGCCTCCATAAAAATGCAAAAGGACAGCATTGGGAGAACTTGCAGGTTGGTGAACAAGAATGCATCCACGTGCCGGGTCCCACGCTCCACAAGGACAAAAGTTCCTTTGTTGGGGACCTCACCCTCTGTGTCTCTTCATCTGGCTATTAATTTGTGTCCTTTAATATCCTTTGGAATAAATTTGTGATCTAGTGAGTAAACTGGTTTCCTGAGTTCTGTGAGCCCCTCTAGCAAATTAACCAACCTTAAGAAGGAGGTCGTGGGAACCTCTGATTTATAGCCAGTCGGTCGGAAGCCCAGGTGATAGCGTGGACTTGGGATTGGCTTCTGAAATGGGGGTGGTCTTGTGGGACTGAGTCCTTAACCAGTGGAATCTGATGATATCTCCAGGCAGATAGTGTTGGAATTGGGTTAAATTTGTGGGATACCCAGTCAGTGTCCATGGAGAATTGAACTAATTGCTTGTGATATGGAAAAAACACACACATTAGAATTGGTGTCAGAACTGGATCAAGGTAACATCACCAGTGACAGGCCATATTGGTATTGATAAAGTTAATTCTTACATTGAGACCTACAAAATAGAGGCTGCCCCAGTGACCTGGCCCAGGTCACAAATCTAATCCTACCTCTGGGGCACCTGGGGGGCTCAGTCAGTTAAGCATCTGCCTTCAGCTCAGGTCATGATCTCAGGGTCCTGGGATCGAGCCCTGCTTCGGGCTCCCTGCTCAGCTCAACTTTTCCCTCTCCCTCTGCTCCTCTCCCCTGCTCATGTTCTCTCTTTCTCTCAAATAAATACATATATATACATATATGTATATGTGTGTGTGTATATATATATATATATATGTATAAACCTACCTCAGCCTGCACTTACAGGAAACCTAACATACGCCAATGACAACCTAACATACACTCAGCCGTACTAACTCCCCCTACCCTAGAAAACAGGACCCGCTAGCCTTACAAGGAAATCCCCCTCCCTAGCAGCCAATCCTGCCATTTCTGTTGTTGCTTTGGGGGGCTCTACAAAATTTGCTCTTGCCCCAAATCCCTCCAGAAGAGTGCTCAACTACTTTGAAGGGCTGTAGTCCCTCAATCCAGGAAAGGTTTTCTTTTGAATAAAGGACATCAAACTCACTACTAAACTATTTGCATTTTGGGGGCTCCTGGCTGGCTCAGTTGGTAGAGCATGTGACTCTTGATCTTGGGGTCATGAGTTGGAGCCCCACGTTGGGCACAGAGTTTACTTACTTAATTAATTAAATTGTTTTTGTTTTGTCATTGCATAGTGTCCTATGCCCCCTGATAGGAGTCAGTGAAGGGCGCTGACCCCCGAAAAGGTAAGCCACCAGTGCAGAGAAGCCCAGCACTCTGACTCACTGGTGCTTCCTCCCTCATACCACAGAGCACCCCAATGAGCAGTGAGGGAGCGCCAGGCTCCCTAACGTGCCAGGCACTGAGCCAGATACTTTATAGACAGCACTGAGCTGCTCCCTCAGCTCAGAGGTGAGTACTAGCATCCCCATTTTCCAAGGTGAAAACTGAGGCTCAGGATGCTTAAGTAATTTGCCCAAGGTCCCAGGACCAGAACTTTGCTCCTTCCACCCCACTGCACCACAAGGGAGGCAGGGCCGAGGGGGAGGTGGGAGGAGGCCCCAGCCTCTGTCTCCTTAAATCGTCTAACCACCTTCTGGGGTGTTACTTTGATTCCTCTTGTGTGAATAAGGAGGCTGCCCAGAGGGCTAGCGACTGTCCCAACATGACAGAGTGGTAAAGGGTCAGGGGCACCAAAAGAAAGAGGCTTTTAATGCCGAAGGGAGAGGCACCCCAGCACTTCTCCCGGCCCCAGTGGAAACAGCTAGCATCCCAACTTCACAGGGCTGAGTTCAGCTGGGGCTTCTGGAGCGTTCTCAGAAGGCAAGGCAAGCTGGGACGGCAGAGCCACGTGGGGAGTAAGACGGGGCAGAGCTGGGGGTAGATGGCAGAGGTGGGGGCACACCAGTGCAGCAGGGCCAAGGAAACAGAGAGGGCAGGGGCTTGGGGAGCAAGGGGGCTGCCAGCTGAGGCCTTACCTTGTTCTCACAGTGGATCTTGGCCCCAGAGTTGACCAGAATCTGGAGGATCCGTAAGTGGCCGAACCAGGCAGACAGGAGAAGCGCGTTCATCCCAAACTGGGGGAGAGGACACGGGGAGGAGGGGAGGTGAATGTGAGCAGGTGTGGCTGTGCCACCTGGGCCCATGTCTGCACTGAAAATCATACAACCATAAGGGACCATAAGTGCCACCCAGGCCAGGGAGCACCAAGGTTAAGGAATGTCAAAACCATGGCATTTTTTTATTTTTTATTTTTTAAATTTTTAAAAAAATATTTTATTTATTGGGATGCCTGGGTGGCTCAGTCAGTTAAGCGTCTGCCCTCAGCTCAGGTCCTGGGATCAAGTCCCACATACGGCTCTTTGCTCAGTGCAGAGCCTGCTTCTCCCTCTGCTCCCTCCCCCACCCCTACCCCTGCTTATGCACTCTCTCTCTCTGACAAATAAATAAACAGAATCTTAAAAAAAAAAAAAGACATTTTTATTTATTTGAGAGAGAGCACGAGTGGGGGGAAGGGGCAGGGGCAGAGGAAGAAGCAGACTCCCCACAGAGCTCAATCCCAGGACCCTGGGATCATGACGTGAGCCGAAGGCAGACGCTTCACAGACTGAGCCACCCAAGCACCCCTCCACGGCATTTTTTTTTTTTAAATAGAGGCTGAGACACTATTGCAAACTTTTGTTTTTGCTAAATAAAATTTAAAAATAGGGGCGCCTGGGTGGCTCAGCCAGTTGAGCATCCAAGTCTTGATTTCTGCTCAGGTCATGATCTCCTGGGTCATGAGACTGGCCCCACATCAGGCTCTGTGCTGGGCGTGGAGCCTGCTTGGGCTTCTCTCTCTCCCTCTCCCTCTGCCCCTCCCCTGCTGGTGCTGTCAATAAATAAATAAATATATATATATATATATAAAACAGCTACCATCTATTCTCCCCATCACTTAATAAAGAAGAAACATTTTAACATAAAAAATTTGGGAGGAACTAATCACAGAATATGCTCTTTCCAAATACAGCTTCATGAAAAACACACTACATTGTTCTTATTTTCTGATTTGCTATGGCTGGTGAAGACCTCATCCTGGACTGGTGTTTGGGAGCCCACTGTTTGACTATCCTACAGGACAGCCTCCAGGCAGATGGCTTAAGCCTACAGACACCTCACCCCTCACAAGACATGCACTGCACTAACAACCACTGCTCACTGTTGGAAAGTCCCTCCTTCCTCTGCACTGAAATCTGCCTCCCTGTACCTTCCACCCCACCGGCGCTTTGCAGCAACTGAGAATATGTCTGGGCCCTTTTCCGATGATGGCCCAGGATGCTCTTCCTCAACATCTGTGAAGTACTGAGGGATCAAGAGAGCCCCTTCACCAACCTGTGCCTTCATGGGGTTCTGCCTATGACCCCGCACTGGGTAGAATCTCAGTGACTGTGGCCTGGCTGGCTGAGGGAGAGAATGAACACACACAGGGCAGAGTCCATGGGGAGAAGCCCATAGAAGCCTGGGAATGAAAAGGGTCAAGGCTCAGGGCTGGGGGAGCCAGAGCCTCCTGCCAGTGGGAACCCCAGGGATATTTCTTTTTTTCTTTTTTTTTTTTTTTTAAAGATTTTATTTATTTATTTCAGAGAGAGCACATGAGAGGGGGGAGGGGCAGAGGGAGAAGCAGACTCCCTGCCGAGCAGGGAGCCCGATGCGGGACTCGATCCTGGGACTCCAGGATCATGACCTGAGCCGAAGGCAGTCGCTTAACCAACTGAGCCACCCAGGCGCCCCCCCAGGGATATTTCTGCATCCTAGTTCCAAGAACTGTCCAGGACAGAGCCCTATGGCATATCTCTCGAGACCTTCCCCCCAACAGCAGGATCTCCCTCTCTTGTCTCCCCCCACCCTTCTACTAACTAAAGTAGGCATGCCCATCAGCTTTCTTATTTTTCAAAATATATTACTATTTGCAAAGGAAACAGAAGATTTATAAAAGCACTGTCTCTTACTATCCTCCCTCATATCTTCTTTTCTCACCGATTCCCTCAAGGAAGAAATAACAAGAGCACAGTGGTGATAGTGGGGGGTCTTTGTGGGCAAAGGCCTGTTGCATGAGGTTCCAGTATTTTATCAGGAAACTCAGGCTAAGGATCCCAGACATTCTCCTTCCAGAGTCCCCTCTAAATGAGGCCTAAGCAAATGCAGAGAGATAGGGCGGGAGTGGGGAGGTAGGTGTTGCTGCCCCACGCCCAGCCCCAGCTTGTCATCAAGCTCCCCTTCATGCTGGGGCCTGGGAGCAGAGAGAGGCCAGGGCAAAGAACGGTATTTCTGTGAAAGGTATATCTCTGCAGGGAAGTTCGTAATTCTTTAAAATTTTTTAAATTTAGACTCTTAAATGTACCCCTGTCAAATGTCATTGGTAGACCCAGTTCTTTGCCAAACCTATAGAAATGATTTTGTAGACCCTGTTATTCTTCAGCGCTCTCTCTCAGCAACGTGTTGCCTGCCAATTTGTTAAGTAAGACTGTTAGTCTTTTTTTTTTTTTTTAAGATTTATCTATTTATTTGAGAGAGAGAGCACGCACACAGGCAGAAAAGACAGAGGGAGAAAGAGTCCTAAGCTGACTCCCTGTTGAGCACAGCCCGCTGCAGGGTCCGACCCGGGGCGATCTCACCACCCTGAGATCAGACCTGAGCGGAAACCAAGAGTTGGTTGCTTACCTTACTGCGCCACCCAGGAGCCCCAGACTGTTAGCCTTCACTCACGTCTCTGGTTAAAATGTTAGCGAGGGCAGAGCCTTGTGTCATATCATGAGAGACCTACCTCCTGATGATTTTATTAATAAGTCCTTTATCAATCCATCCAATTATCTGTTCTACAGCCCATATCTCTCCCTGTTCATATGGTATCATGAGGGACTGAAAAGGCTCTCTGAGAACTAAAATAACTCTTGAAAATGGAGAGATTTTACGGCTGTACAAGGGAAAACTGGGATCAGTACAGTGGCACTGGCCCCTGAAGATGGATTCCCTGTCCACCCTGCACCCTGTGTTTGCATGTCAGGGCCACCTCCACAAGGACAGCGGACTCAGACCCAGAGAGAGCTCTGGGGCTCCTCCCCCGCCCTGGGACAGACAGACAGACAGATATGCACACAGGCACAGGGCGCCTGTAAGAGCGGCCCCATACCGCATCCTCATCGTCCACAGCAACCTCGTGCTCCAGCAGCAGCCGGACAGCTGGCTCGTGCCCGGCGCCTGCAGCCCAGTGCAGGGCCACCCTGCCCACCTGCCGGGAGGGAGAGAAGGGCTTGGGGCGCCAGCTGCCTGCCTGGCCCACCTCCCCTCACCCCCTCCCCATCTCCCCAGCCGCAGGACAGCTGGTCTGGTGGTGACAAGCGGGCGGGACCCGAGCCCCACTCAGGCCCCCTCCTCCTCCTCCACAAGGCAGCAGCTGAAACGAACGTAGTCAAACACCATGACTAGACCCATCTGTCCCCCACCTAAAACTTCACAGCTTCCCACTGCTCTTGGGACAAACTCCTCACCCTGGGCCCTGGCCACCAAGACTCAGAAATGCCAGACTACTCCCCCTCGCCCTGTCTTTGTTCCTGCTGGACAGCCACCTGTCAGAGGACTACTGTCCTAGTCCTTGAGGGTCCCTGACTGCCTGGGTTCTGTCCCCTCCTTCCTTCAGAACGGGCTGAAGGGGCCGATCCCTCACCCCGTCGTCGGACCACCCTGGAAGTTCATCATGGTCTTTGGCCTCCACACATCTGAGCAGGCCTGGGGGAATCCTGCCTCCTCTGACCCATGAACCATAGTTTTTAGCTTCCCAGGGGACAACGAAAGGGAACGCTAATTTTCTGTGTGGTCTTTCTTCCTTGGAATTTCTGCCCCTACTGTCCCCTCTGCCTGTCTTCACCTGACAAAAATGCCACTTCCTCGAGAAGCCTTCCCTGACTGCTGCAGGGAGGACGGGCCCCCTCTGACCTCCACATGCTCTCAGCTTATCACAGTGGGAATGAACTGTTTGTGAGACACTCTGTTTGTCTTCTCCCTAACCAGACAATCAGCTCCAGAGTGTAGGGACCATATCTGCCATGGGCTCTGCTCTGTCCCCAGCACCTAGCACAGTGCTGGCAAAGGGGAAGCCCCTTAGAAATACTGAATGAATGAATGAATGAATGAGATGAGTAAATGACAGAATCTGGCATTAGTATCCTACTACATCCTTTAAGTCCCTGCTTCCTTGCAAGTGTTTGTCCAGTGGAGACTGAGGCTTCAGTTATGAATAAAATGCTGTGTGACCTAAGGTGACTTGCTATCCCCATCTGTGCCTATCTGGATCTATAAATAGGATCGACATTTCCTGTCTCCCTCACCTCTCCAGGGGTGAGGGAGGACCAGCAGGAAGCAGGTGGAGGAGTGCTCTGAAAACCAAGCTGCACCAGACACACCTGAGAATTCCTGTTACTATCACTGAGCCCCAGACAGGCTCGGAAGACGCAAGTCACAGACCTGTCATGTCATCCCAGACAGAGCAGCCTCTGCAACAGTCAGGAATCCTACATCCAACCCCTTCAGCCTCCACTGACCTCCCATCCAGGCTGGCATCTCCTCTAAGACAAGCCTGGCAGCCAGAAGCCCCAAGGTAGAGAGAAGCTACCCTGCATGGTACCCAGGCCTATCGCCAGTGTCCCCCATTAGAGGGAATGGCTTTTCTCTCTGTCTCCTCCAGCAGGGCTATGGACCACCCCATCTGTGGCTTTTTTTGAGGCCTGATCGATGAGCTAGGTCTGCCTCCCTGCCTGGTCTTTGAGTCCCCGGAGACTTGCCTAGGCCCACAACAGTTTTACACACTCAGTGGGCGATCAGAAAACTAAGCTAAATTGCTTCCTCATGCATGCTCAGCCTCTCTTGTTCTGGCCTCTCATGGTCTCCAACCCCTGGACTTCTGACCACAAGCACCACTCGGTCTTTGTCCCTCCAGGCTTCTGTTCCTCTCTGTCCATCTGTCAGCCTCTGACTCCTGGCCTTCGACCCCCTGCCCTCCTGACTCTAACCTTTGTTCCTTGGGTGTGCCTTTCAGATTCGTGACAGGAGTGAAGAGTATGAGCTCTCAAATTGCCCAAGCCTGGCTGGGAATTCCAACCCTGACCTCGGACAAGACCACAGAGACCTTGAGACAACGTGGACAATCTAAGCCTCCCCCAAGTGAACACATGCAAATGCTCCTGCCCTGGGCTCCATGAACTGTCCCTCCCATGTGTGGGTGTCACCGTGGCTGGCACCATCCCTATCCAAGCCTGCAAGCCTCCCGATTTGGAAGAGCCCCTTGACGAACGTGGTTTCTGGCCCTGACGTTGACTCTCCTCTCGATCAGTTCCTTCATCCTCCCGATGTTGTTCCGTCGGGCGGCCTCATGGAGCTGCCTCTCCAGGGGAAGCACTAAGGGCAGAAAAGGGGATGCTGGATGAGGGAGAGGGCCCCCACACTGCATGAGGAGGAGAGGTGAACAGCTCCTCCCTGCCCTGAATGTCTCGCAGGAAGGAACTCTTCCAGCTCGGACTGGTCGTGGAGATGCCTCTCCTCCCTTTGGAGGTTGGGAACTTCCCCAGACAAGCTGCTTTTCTTCACTAACTCACCACTAGTCCACACGACCAGGCCTTAGCAAAACCCTAAAGATGGGACAGCATGGGCAAGACTGTCCACGGGAGCCAGATGTGTGCCCGTCATGGCCCTCAGAGGTCCCCCATCATCCAGTTTTTCATGACCCCAAGAGCAGCTCTTGAGGAAGGGATGGAATTCATTCCCACTGGAGTTGATAACTACCTTTCCCATGGCTTTGTCCAGTGAAGAAGGCAGCCAGGAGTTACTGAGCCACCTAATTCATCAGGCTCAGCCAAGGCCAGAGGCACATTCACCTGGCTTCTTTGTCCTTGTCCCTCCATCTCTTCTCCCTTCAACCCCAATCCTAACCAGGTGTCACCTCCCAGCTGTGGGGCCCACCCTGATTTTCCTTCTCTCAGGGCTCCTCTTGCCTCAACACTGCATCATTATCTCAGACTAGAGGGAGCTCTGAGGCCTGCCAGGAGGACCCAGGCCCGGTGACGTGGTCCAGGGCTCATCTCACCAGACCCCCACGCTGCTGTCATCCTGACTGCACTTGGCTTGTGAGGATGTCTGGTGTCCTTGGCTGAACCGCAAGCTCCCTGGGGGCCCTGGCTACACCTGACCTTTGTTGATCCACCCACACCTCACAGCAGGCCCAAAGCTGGACCTAGGGAGGGATCCATAAAACTCTGCTTCCATGAGTGACACATATCAGACTAATAGATACCCATCCCTCCCCCAGAAAGGTTTAGACACACTAGCACAAGGCACGAGTATTTGCTGGCCCTTTGCATGGTCATTACAGGGCAGATAATCTGTGGTCTAATTGCTGCCAAACCCACATCCTGTGTGTTTGGTCCAATGTGAATGTCCAGATCCAGCCCCTTTGTATATCCAGGGACAGGTGGCCAGTGTTTGGGCAGGGAACGCTAGGATGAGTTCAGGTGACAGACAGGCCTGCCATCCGTTTACTTTCCAGATATAGAAGAGGGTCCTGGGCTTTCCAGGGCCTTATAGATACAACCTAGGGACCTCGGAGCTGCTGCCCCAGGGCAATCACATGGCCCTGGGTTCAACTCTGGCGAGTCACTTCCAGGACTCCAGGCCACTTGACTTAATTATCCTGTGCTTCAGTTCCCTCATCTGCAAAATGGGGAACGTGAGCCGCCCTGTAGGGTTACAGTAATAATAAGATATAAGATATGAAAAGCCCCTAGCACGGTATCTAGCAAATAGTGCCAGCATCATCATCACTATTATTCCTATAAGGCAAAGGGTAATAAATTCTGGTGCCCCTCCAGGTGGGGTCTCCTTCACTCAGGGCCCTCTAAGCCCGTGAAATACCAACCAAGGACAGCACCCTCCCTATCCACCTCCTTGCACTGTTTTGCTCCATAGCGCCCCTCACCACAGACATATGCTATACTTACATATTTATTAGGTTCATTGTTCTGCTTCCCCCATTAGAAGCCCATGACAGGGGAGATTTTTGTCTGATTTGTTAACTGCTGTATCCCCAAATTCAGGCCCTGGCACACATTTGTTGAATGAACAAGTGATATACAAATCATTAAATCTCTTCAGGGGCCTTTGAACTATAAGATGCTGTCCGAATTAAGACTCATTAGTCCCTGGAAAATCAAACCACAAGCTCAGGCAAATGGCAGGAAAGAGGCACTGAGGGGGAGGCAGCTTCAGGTCAATATTGCACGGGGGGAGGGGGAAACACCACCTTCCAAGTGCGGTCTCCACTGCTAGTTCCACCCTTTCCAATCTCCAAAGGGGGTGCCTTTCCTGTAGGTGAGGAGAGGGCTGTTCTGGAAGAACTCTTCTCGGATCTCAAACATCTCCAGGAACCACTGAGTCCCAAGCTTTTGTTTCCTTAACCTCTTGGCTGAATGACACCAAGATCCAGGCTCAGGAAAAAGAGCTGGCACTTCAGGGGAGCTTAGAGAAGCTGGGGTTCTGGTACCCACTCTGCCACTTTCTAACAGCAGGATCCCCGGCTAGCCATGTACCCCTTGGAGGCCTCAGTTTCTTCGGTTCTAAAAAGCAGGGGGGTGAAGAAAGTTATCTGTAGCGATCCCTTCCAGCTCTGACTCCCTTTCTCTCAGCTGAAGCCTAGAAGTGGCCTGGTTTGTGTAGGCAAACAGGCACCAGTGTGAGTGGGAGCAAGCAGACCCTGCAAGGCACCAGTGAAATCAAGCCCAATCTCATCTCTTCCATCCACCTCAACCCATGCATCCTCTTTCTGTCCACAAATACACACTGTACCCTAGCCTTGGAGACCTTCCCCATGCTGCCTCCTCTGCCCAGAATTCCCTCCCACACACCCCAATGCTCCATTGCTGCACATTCTTTAAGGCGCTCAAGAGATCCTCTGACCCAGGCAGAACCCTGCACCCTTTGAAACAGCACCTTATTAGAGCCCCTCACCGCCCCCCACTCATCCCAGTGAGGGCACTGGCACAATCCTTCTCTCCCCTCTCCCAGGGAGTGCAGCGAAAACCTATCAGGTTGGCTGATGCCCACACGAGGCCCTGGCCCTGAGCACACTCCATGAGGAATGCTCGGCCGTGTGCTCATCCCACCTGCGGCACACCCCAGTTCCTCTCCTCTGGGTTTCAGTTTCGCCATCCGGTATAGTCTTCATTCCCCACCCAACCTCAACATTCTGGGAGAGCGGGGGCCTTCAGCATTTCTACCACTTAAAGGCGTGTGACCTTGGGTAACTTATTTAACCATCCTGTGCCTCAGCTTTCTCTTCTGCAAAATGGCGGTAACAATAGATCCTACCCACAGGGCGTCTGTGAAGATCAACTAACATTCCTGTCCTGGCTCAGCCTGGCACACAAATTAAGTACCCAATACAGGATCGCATAACCCTCTTATTCGCATCAACATCTAGCTAATGTCTCCGCGGCGGCAGCTCCCTGCTTCCCGGACCCGTGGCGCCGCCGAGTCACGGAAGCGCGGCCAAAGTCCCCCCTGGCCCGGCGCGCGTTCCTCTGGACGCCACAAAGAAGCCCACGACCGAGGTGGCCGCGCGGACAGCGCCAGTCTCAGGCTTGGTCGCCCCGGCAGGAGTGCGGGAATCCTCGGGGCTCTGCCCACGCCCGCCCCAGGCCCCGCGGCGCGGCGGACTCACGGCCGTCGGTCTCCCACGCCAGGGCCTCCTCCATGCCGCCGCTCAGCAGCCCGGGGACGCGCTTCTGTCCGCCTGGGCGCGGCGCCGCGAACCGAGGGGAGGGGGCGCTGAGCCGGGGTCTGGGCGCGGGGGCTACCGGGAGCGCCGGGGTGCGCGCGGCAGCCGCTGCTCCAGACCCTTCGGTCCCGCCTGGGCCCTGGAGCACGATGTGGGCGCAGCTGCTGCGGCCTCCCTCCAGTCCCCGACCAGGCTGCAGGTGCCTGCCCACGGCTCCGCGCCTTTCACCCCCGAGGCCGGCGGGTCGGGTTGGGGCCACTCCGGGCTCTGCAGGTCCCCGGTGGGCGTGTCTCCCCCCGGAGCTGTCCCAGCCTCCTCGGCCCGTGACCTTCGTGTAAGGCCTCCCGCAGGCTCCACCCTCGGGACTCCGGAGCCTGCTCAGCTGCCCCCAGACGCCTAAAGTCAGACTCCAAAGCCTTGGGCAGGCATTTAAGGAACAGACACCTCAGCAAGCCTGTAAGCATATGAAGAGATGGTGAGATTTATTCATGATCAGAAAAATACAAGTTAAAATGACGATGAGATATCACACCAATTGGACTGGCAAAATTATAAAGATAGACAATGCCAAATCTTGGCGGCGAATGCGGAGCCGTCACAGCCGGGTGGTTTGCTGGTGGGAGTAGCTTGGGGCAGCCATTCTGGAAAACAGTCTGGTAGTAATGAGGGAAACTGAACGCAGCGAACTTCAAACTTAGAGTGCAGCTCTTTCCCCTCCAGTCTCAGAAAAGGACATGTAAAAGGGTGTTCCTTGCTGCCTTGTTGTTTCATGGTTCCTGGGAGTTGGAGGTGACTTGAGCATTGGGGGAGTGGATGGGTAAAATGTGGGACTATGCAACTAGAGAAACGAGGAACCAGGATGCGGCTTGGGGATTGGGTGGGGGCTAGAGGAGCAGGCCCTGAAAGAATTCACCCAAGGCAGAACAAAAGAGAGAGAACTTTATTGGATACACTGCAAGGACAACAAAGGGGAGACTGCCACAAGATGGTGGCAAGGGACCAGAGTTATAGGGTGGAGTGAGGAGGTATGGGAACATACGGAATTTTCCCTTTTTTGGTAACTGTGCCTGGTTTAAAGTAGCCCATTGGTGCATTAGGGCTATTTGGAGGTGGGTCACTTAATGAGCCTGTTTGTATTCAGCTTGGTGGTCACTGGGGGCCCTTTTGTCTTGCTCAAGATTCCATTGCCCAAGCCTGTTACCTAAAAGCAACCTCTACAACCAGGTGTATTCACAACAAGGATTCAAACGCCCAGTGGTGAGCTGAAAAAGTACAACAACCCAGTGAGATCTATAACACAACATCAATAAATGCATGCACACAGGACAACAGAGATTGCAAAGACACAAACAAAAAGATACACATTAAACATATCAGGGGCGCCTGGATGCCTTAGTCATTAAGCGTCTGCCTTTAGCTCAGGTCATGATCCCAGGATTCTGGGATGGAGCCCCGCATCCGGCTCCCTGCTCAGCGGGGAGCATGCTTCTCCCTCTCACACTCCCCCTGCTTGTGTTCCTTCTCTCGCTGTCTCTATCTGTCAAATACATACATAAAAAAATAAATAATTAATTTAAAAAAAGATTAAAAAAACCATATCAGAATGGATTGCACTTCAGACCCCTGGGGGCTGTCCATGTCTTCTTCTCTTCTTTGCCTTTAGATTTAAGGATAGTGGAGTCCCAGGCATCTCTACCCCCAAGACAAGGAGCTATTACTAGTTCTCTGGGATCAGAGAAGGAAGAATATTTTTCAGTCATTAGTGTAAATTCAAGAAGACTTCCTTCCCTGGAAGAGGAAGTATTTGGGAAGGCCTTTGAAAAAAATAACATAATGATAATAGCTAACACTTAATGAGCCTCAAGCTAAGCACTTTGTGTGGATTATCTCATTTTGTCCCCCAAACCACCCTACATGAAATGGGCATGACCATTTTATGGAGGACGAATTGAAGCACAAGAGGGTAAATAACTCTCCCTACCTCACATGGGTAAGTGGTGGGGCCAGGGTTCTAACCCAGGTGGTCTGATTCAAGAGCCAGAGCATAAGCATTTGGCAGGTGGAGGGGACTCTGCTGGAGTCAAAGCCACAGACAGCAGGCAGTGTCTCTGCCTAAGCCCTGCACCCAGATGGATGCAGAGGTGCTGGGGAGCAGTTGGCTGGCATAACTGCCCACCTGCCACCCAAGATGCCATAGCCCTGGGCCAGCGGAACAAAGTGGCTGCTACTTCGCCTCTCAGTTAGGATGCTCACATCTTGGGATACACAGTGGAGAATGAAGGGGCACAGGAAACCATAATCAGGACTTCAGTTTTTACAGGATGACTGGGAGGCAGTAGAAAAATTGCATTTTTATTTTTTATTTTTAAAGATTTTATTTATTTATTTGAGAAAGAGAGAATGAGAGAGAGCACATGAGAGGGGGGAGGGTCAGAGGGAGAAGCAGACTCCCCGCCGAGCAGGGAGCCC